GATGTAGCGGCCACCGAAGTGGCGATCCCAGGCACTCGACTTGACGGCCAACTCGCCCTTCTTGAACTCGACGACCGTCGCAGTATAGTTGCTGTGGCCGATATTGACGAAGACTACCCGCCTAGGCTTCTCCTCTGGCGCTGGGAGGTCGAGCTTTGTGATGCCGTAGCCGAGGGCAACCGCTGTGTTGTCGTTGATCAGCCTCAGGCACTTGAGGCCGGCGATGTCGGCAGCGTCGAGGATGGCACGGCGCTGGGCATCTGTGTACCACACGGGGCAGCTGAGGACGACATCGGAGACGGGCAATTTGAGCTCAGCAGACGCCGTGGCCTTCATCCGGGTGAGGAACATGGCGGTGATCTGGGTCGCTGTGAACTGCTCCTTCTTGCCCAGGTATGTGACCTCGGCGCCGACCTGGCCGTTCATGTCGACGAGGGGGGCCGAGACAAAGTCCTGCTCAACCTGGACATCGGGGTCGCTGAGGGAGCGGCCGGCGAGGCGGACGAAGGACGAGACGGTGTTCTTGAGGTTGGAGATTTCCTGGTTCTTTGCGGCCTCGCCGATATATCTGCTCTTGGGACCGAAGCCGACCAGCGATCTAGACGGTGAGGGGTTAACTATGCTCACTTGTAGTGACATGGCCGTGAAAAGGTGTACACTTACGGCGTTGCGCGGTTAGAGACTTCGTTTGCAATCTGCACAGCGTTCGGGTCAGTATGCTCGAAAATGGGCCGGTCCAAAAGGACTTGAAAGCCAAAGGGTTTGCACTTACCACATCGACGCCACGGTTACGCGCAACAGCAATGACGCTGTTGAGCGTGCCCAAGTCAACGCCCACGACAGACATGTTGTGTGTTGTTTATTGGGTAGCGGGGTAAAAGAGAGTGCGGTCGCAGCAGGTAAGAGTGCTTGCGCGGGGGAAAAGCGGGTGGTGGTTTTCTTTTTCGCAAAAGAACAATATGTGGTGGTGGTGGTAGTGGTGGTGTATGTGTGGCTTGGTCGCCGTGCTTGAGAGAGGATTGCAATATAGCCTGTCCACTTTTTTTTTAATTCGGATGAGGCTGGCTTTTGGCTTGACAGAACTTCACAGAAGTTTCTCGATGGCACTTTGTCTAGCGCGGGGCTGTTGATGCTGTTAGGTCATATTTGCTTGGCAGGGCGGCCCTCAAGCAGTCAAACAGTCAAACAACAAGCAAACACCAACAACAACAACAACAACAACAACGGGGGCTCCACTTCAGCATACACTGTTAGTTACAAGACCACTTCGCCCACAACGCCCACAACGCCCACACCTGCCTTCCCGGCTACCGCTGGCCGCATAGCCTCACTGTGGCACTCTAGTCGCCCCCACCTCAAAAAAAAATAAAGAATATAAAAGCACTGGCATCTGCTAGAATGCGCCACCCAGCACAGCCATACGCGTGATCTGAGCCCTGACACGGTGCTGGAAAAGAGAGAGAGAGAGAGAGATAGACGACGTTATGGCCGACATCCCACCCTATCCGCTCTACAACAAGACGTACAGTCTCTATCGCCTCTCGCCCCTGCTTCACGGCGACACTCCGCTGCTAACCGAACGCGTCCTGCGAAGCCATGCGAAGCAACTTGGAGACCAGCTAAAAGGCGACAATGTGCGTGGCGTGCAGGTCGACTTTGCCAGCGCAGAGGAGACCGCAAGGCTGGGCCCGCTGGAGGATTGCAGCTGGGATCCCATTGGCGACGAGGATGCCTGGATTGACCGATACCGGCACTCGATCGACCCAGATGCTTCGCAGCTCTCTGTGGGTTGGGGTCCAGAGAAGGCGCGTGGAGTCCACGTGAGCCTCGACTACGAGAAGCAGTCGTATAATGCGCTCCTCCTGCGCGATCCTGGCCTGACTGCTTCACCGGATGGCTTTACATCGCTCCCCCTTCTGCTGGTGAGGATGCCAGGCTCCATACGCGACATCTTCCTCAATTACCTTCGCACTACCTTTGATGCACACATTGCACCCTTGAAACTACCGTCGCCCTTCATTACATCTAGCCTCGAGACCTACTTCAAACACCTGTCCTCGCCATCCTCAACCCAGACCATACCAGACGTGATACGGTCGCTACAAATACAACTAGCCTTTCCGACTACGACAAACATACTAAAGCACATTGATATATCCATTGCAAGCACTGATGTCCCAGGCTTTGTCAGTAGAGGCATGTCAATGCAGCAGTCACAAACCCGGCCCTTCACAGCGGCTCTATCCAGTTATCTGAAGAAGCACCTCGCCCTGGACATCTCACATCCCAAGGTGCAAATCTCGAAGATTTCATGTAGCAGCTTCCATCTCAGTACTGAGCGTCTCAAACTAGTTGCGCCTGACACACTAGCAGACACATCCTTCTCAGAAGAGGGCGGCGCATCCCAAGATGCGAGTGCTGGTCAGCTTGCCGTGCAGGAATTCTACTTGTCCTTGGTTCAAGAAGCTGCTGGTAGTGGCATCTTCTTACCAGAAGACTTGGCCAGCGGCAGAAGAGATGACACGCCTTCGTCGACTGCGAGCGCCACGGTTGGAAGAAGAAAGAGAGCCGTTAGCAGTGCGGCTAGTCCAAACAACAACCAAAAGAAAGCGAAAGGGAGAGGGAAGGAGAATGGAACGCGCCTGGATGGTGAGATCAGTACGGGAGATGTATGATGGGTGCTTGCAGTAAGCAGCATCAGAACTTTTTCTTTCCGCCACTTGCTGTCTGGCCGGCAATCTCACTGCTTACAGGCACTGTCGTCTTTTAGTACAGCTTTCATGATACCCAAATGTCAATTCTGCTTCACCTTTAGACCTGTTGCTGGGCATCGGGCCAGGCCTATATACGCATGTGATCCATCTACCATGGTAGTAGTGAACCACCGCGTTCGCTCGGAATGTTAGTTGATCCCTTCCATGCGCGACGTCCGTCTTTACCTGCGAAGTTTGAATCACATGGCCGGTCATTGGTTCCCTATCAAGCTGCAAGCCGTCGTCGCTCTTGCCTTTTGCTGTCCGCCTATATAACCTCACATTAAATTCAAGCCTGACCATCAACCACACTTACGAGGCACTCTCTTCAAGCGCCTGAGATTCTGTGCCTCACGAACATAATCGGCAATTACGACTTCAAGATGCAACTCCTGCTATTCTCGCGTCCCAGTGCCAGGTGCAGAATGTATGGGTTCATCGAGGCTGCTGCGAATCGTCTCCAGCGCCTCGCTTTAAACCGACGATGCAGCAGCTATCCTCTCACTACACTTGACGCCAATGATGGCACGACATGCGTGCTTAATATATCTCGATGTTGTGATATAGCATCCATCAGGACCACAATCTATGTTCTTTCACAGCTTTCTCTGCTATTTCAGAATCCTTCGTTGTGCATGGCCAACGTCGATACTATCGCGTGCGCTCGCGCGCCCTTCTCACACTGAACATTCACACAACGCAGTCCAGTTACAGGACCCAAACATAGCGATCTAATGGCATTTTAAATGCTTCCCCTGCTCACCCATACCAGTTCGGAAATTGTAAGGAGATACTCACTACTCGACCTAGCACGTCTTACACTAGAGCATTCAATTCATTTCGCGACATTTATAGCACTTTCAGCTCACCACACGCCCTCAACATGCCATATCTTCCATCTCTCGACCCTCAACAGGTCAATAGTCCGACAAGCACGTCATTCTCCCCCTCAACCATAGGAGCCACTATTATTCCCACTGGCTTCTTTACTGTATTTCCCACAGAACTCTCTCCTACCATCTATGACGCTTCACTAAACTGCACAACCCAGCCCACACACTCCAAAACTGGCACTAATTAATATACCGACATACTTGCTGGTGTTATAGTTGGCGTCGTTGGCCTCTTTCTCGTAGCGATATGGCTATATAGAAGCGGTATACCCCGGATACGTGCATCCACACGTCTTGCCGCCATGACGACTGAGCGTGCTGAGCACCATGAGCTAGAAAGTCATGATGAAGAGGCAAATAGAGGAACAGGACTAAAACGCGGTACGTAGGTTCTATGAATAGACCAGATGATATGGGCGGTATTTGGATTGCCCCAAATCTCGGGCGCAACCGCGTACCCACGCGTGAGGACTTGGCGCAACTTCCTCCCACCATTCGCCTCGTACAACGGCCCACATCTATGAACAGTCTGCAAGCGGGTATAGACGCCGTTCAACACGAACGAGAACCTCGTGGCAAGGATTACTGTATAGAAGAGGGTGCGCATGAAAGCTCCTCACACCCACGTATTCCGCCACCATGTCTCAATTTGGATGCGGTGGATTGGACAGTGACTATGACCTCTGGTGAGGAGCCTTTCCAAGTTGCCTATGAAGGAAAAGGCAAGGGTAAACTGACGTCGGCGTAAGACGGTGTTGTAGATATGATGCGGATGAGCAACAGGCCTTTGCGTTTGTTGCACGATGATGATGGTGGTATGGCTGTAGGGCAAATGTCGCGCCGCAAGTAGGTGCGCTCTAATTGTGAGGATTTATCTATAGATATTTTTCTAGTAGATTAGAATTTCGAGTTAAACGGATCTAGATGCACTCTATCGCCCAGTTACCGTGGCCGGATTTAAGTGTGGATTGAGTTTAACTTCACCAAATCGATCACTTCAACTTACAGCAATACAGCGACGCAGGATAAATTTACAAGTGGCATGTTTCAAACTAATACGATGTTTTCTTGGATCACGGCCATGATGATGGCTGTCACAACTGTTTGGCATTGTGTGTGCGCATCGCAGTGAAAGCTTCACAGATTGTACACTTGGACGAGATACCATTAGAGTCGTACATAACTACATTGTGTCAACACATT